GGAATACATCCTTTCAATCCCTCCCAAACCCCTCCCAAACCGGTGAGGTCTGTGTGAGGTCTGTATCTGCCGTATCAAAGGGTCTTCTTGTGGACACAATGTCTTGAAAGTAAGTTTTTAGCATAGGTACACATATCCTCAGTATTTGTAGCTGTTAGTGCATTTAGACTGAAGGGGTGCCCAAGTTCCCGCACTACCGGCTTTGCTTGCCTCATTCTCAAGGTAAGCTTCGTCATTCGGTCGTATCCCACTACTCCCCTTACTTTCAACCACGGTAGCCACTCTTCCTGCTTCCTTGTTTCCACTCTCTCCAATGTAGCTAGGTGAAGTTTCCTCTGTTCTACCCAATAATACTTAGTAAACCCAACCCCCCCCCCCCCCCTCATTTTGGATTCCGCCTCTCTTTCTGCCAGCTGTGCTTTTTTCTCTTCCCAATTTCTATTCGCAGCCTGCATTCTAGAGAATGTTTCTAGTGCCACTGTGATAATTTCTAACCCAACTTCAGCCCACGCCCCTTCCTGGTCAAACAAATCTTTTGCGCCCATCCACTCTTTCATCTGTTTTTCCACCCATTTGAGAATCCCTTTTTCTTTCAAATGATTCACATTCAATCGAAAGGGTGGGCAAACTTTCTCAAATTGTTGCCTGGTCTATTCGAGAGTGGTCCGAGAGATAAGCGATCAGGGTATCACACCACATAGTCCCATATGGTACCCCTAGCCAAGAAGAAGTCAAGCCTTCTTTTTGGCTGAGGGGTTGTGGAGGATGGGCGTGGGCTGAACCACAGGTATCCATAAGAATCCGTACCCTGAACACATCTTGCAGGCTCTGAGCATCCCTTAGTGACGAAAGCATCAGCGTATCCTCCCTGATCGGGGAGGGGTTTGGCGAATCCACACCGTGGTTAAATATTGTGTTCCAATCTCTTCCCAGTACCAAGTTTTGTACATCCGGCATTCAGGAGGGGAGCAACGCAAAAAAAATGGTCCTATCTCTCTGTATCTAACCGAGCCGTAGATTGACATGATTGCCCTGTCCTCCTCTTCCATTTGAAATTTTACCCATACCACCCTTCCCTTAGAATCTATAAAATGGTTAATAACTTCTACATCTAGATCTTTGTTAATGAGTATAGCCGGACCACCCTTTGTCCCCTCCGCCAGAGTAAAAAACTGAGGCCCCTTCCACCAATTCCTGGTTGCCTCGATTTTTTCTAGATTTACCTTTGTCTCTTGTAAGCACGCTATGTGTACGTTCTGTGAGTGTAAGCAAGCCGACAGACTATCTTTTTATTTCTATTGGATGTATCTCCCATACCTCGGACATTCCATGTCAAAATTACAATCCTGTTTGGCAAGACCATTGACCTGGTCATTGCCGCCTGCGTTTTGGATGCGGTTGTCAAGAGCGACCATTTTCAATTTTGAACCCTCCAGCTCAGATATCTCCCCTAGACACGAGTTTGTTGCCCACTCATGGAGGACTGGACCGCTGGGGGGCATTTGTGCAGCTCAACCAATGTGCCGCTTGTTGAGCATCCAGGTCATTACCCATTCGGATACCTCTAAGGAGACCGGTATCAGAGGAGAAAAATGGTGCCACCGGTGTCGAGCGCATCAACTCCCGCCTTTTTCACAAAAGGCGAGGACCCTCCCGGCCATGTCATGCAAAAGTAAAAACAAAAACAAACTCTGAGACAACTTGGGAACGACGCAAAATAACCCCGCGAGCCGTCGAGACGGGCGTGGTCGCGTCGTCCCTTCGCCGCTCTAGCTGGGTGCGCCAGCCGTACTTCCCGCGGTCCCCTACGACAGGATAGGTTCCCGCGGGGCACAAGTTACGCCCCTAAGGAAGGTAAGTTGTGCCCCACGGGAACCTATCCTATCGTAGGGGACCGCGGGAAGTACGACTGATCTTTTGCAGCAGATCCACACAGTCGTCAATCTTCAAGCAATCAATCAATCAAGCAAGCAAGCAAGCAATCAAGCAATCAATCAAGCAATCAATCAGTCAATGGATGAGATCAATCAATCGAGAGACCAAGTAATCAATAAATCAACCAAACAAGTGATCGGGTACCATCAGTGAATGACCAAACATCAATCAGTTAGGCCCATCGACCAGCCCACCCGACATCGATCAATCGACGCCATTGAAGCAGACATCCACCAGTCAGGCAATCAACAAATGAACCAATGAACCAAGCAATTAAGCAACCAATCAAGCAAAGAAGTGATTTGGTACCATCAATCAATGATCAAACCCCAATCAGCAACACATCTACCAGCCCCACATTTATCTATCTATGTGATTCAGCCAGAATCAACCAATCAACCAATCAACCAATCAACCAATCAACCAATTAACCAATCAACCAATGAATCAACCAATCAACCAATGAATCAACCAATCAACCAATCAACCAATCAACCAATCAACCAATCAATCAACCAATCAATCAACCAACCAATCAATCAAGCAACCAACCAATCAATTATCCAACCAACCAACAAGCAATCAAGCAATCAAGCAATCAAGCAATCAAGCATCAAGCAATAAGCAATCAAGCAATCAAGCAATCAAGCAATCAAGCAATCAAGCAAGCAATCAAGCAAAAAAGTGATTGGCATCAACTTTGTGCTCCTCGACAGGACAATCGAGCAGGCATCATTTATTATGCCAAGTTACCAGTAACGGTGGGGGACCACCACTTACACTTACACAGTTTTTCAGACACAAACAGATATCAATAGTTCCTGTGTGTTCAACAGCGCAACGCAATTACAGTAAGTACACATCACTTTATTTATCATTCCTGCCTTGATTACCGATCGTCCAGTGGCCCATCATAGCTCATCGATTGGCCATCAACCAATGCAATCAACCAACAGTGCAAAGGCAATCAACCGACCAATCAATCGCGGAAGGCAATCAATCAACAGCACAATGCCATCAATCATAAATCAAGGATCAGCCGGCGAACAAACTAGATGCGGATCATTGAGTAACCAAGTATCAGACGGCCTCCCTCACATCGGTAGGATTTAAAAGGGAAAAACATAGAAAACAAAACTTCCATTACCATCACATCAATGAGGTCGACGGGCGTGCATTTCCTCCCCCCCCCCGACAGGTGTGTGTTCTATCTCGCGCGCATCAATAATCAATCATGAGGTTTGCCCATCGATCACCATCAGCGAATTCATCAATCAGGCATGTGCGTTTGACCAATCCATCCATCTCCGATCACCAGGTTAGCTGTCAAACGTCAATAAACGGACAACGAATCCTACTTGTTAGTCCATTCCTTGTTGTTGAATACCACATCATTTCATCCATGCCAAATGATAGAGCATACGCCCTGCCCTACTTTCTTCCCCCTGCCCTACCTTCTTCCCCCGAATACAACGTACGGTCATTATAGCTGTATTTAGACTGAAAGATACCCCGAATACAGCGATAATGACCGTACATTGTATTCGGGGGAAGAAGGTAGCCGTGTCTGAGAGAGAGTTTTTTTTTTTTTTT